AAAAAAAAATAAAGCAGTGCTATTAACAATAGCCAATTAATGGAAAAAGTCCAAATGTCTATGAACTGATGAATAGATTAAGAAAAATTTGCGGGGGTGGGGGGGCTAAAAAGTAAGGTTACATTTATTTTACACTGTAGAAACACTGCAATGAATTAGCCAGTAATTCACACTCCCATTCCTTCACACAAGGAAGAAGTTAACGTGTCACCACTTTCTCTGGAATAGCTCGACAACCATGATTTCCATATACCCTAATGTAACTGCCTACTAAAATGCCAGTCATCTGTATGTACCAGTGTCAAAGATGAAAAGTAAACTGTAGTAAGATGTGGTTTATATGTATATATAACGGAATACTACTCAGCAATAAAAAATAATGAAATCTTGACATTTGCAACAACATGGATGGAACTGGAGGGCATTATGCTAAGCAAAATAAGTCAGTCAGAGAAAGACAGATATATGATTTCACCCACATGTAGAATTTGAGAAACGTAACAGATGAACACAGAGGAAGAAAAGGAAAAATAAGATAAAAACAGAGAGGGAGGCGAACCATAGATGACTCTCAAATCAGAGACAAGCTGAAGGCTGATGGTGGGGACATGGATAGGTGGGTAGGGGTGGGTTAAATGGGTGACGGGATGGGCATTAAGGAGGGCAGTTTTCAGGATGAGCACTGGGTATCATATATAAGAGATGAATTATTCCTGAAACCAAGACTACACTGTATGTTAACTAACTTGAGAATAAATCAATAAAATTAAAAAAAAATGAAACTGAAGATAATCTTTAAATACACACATACTTTCTTATTGAGAGCCAAGAATTGATTAGATATAGCTAAATATGTTATTCCTCATCAATGTTTTTGAAGAGTATTTTACTTCTTTTTTTAAAATAAAATATTATAAAAAAACTTGAAAACTATGATTTCATACCTGGTAATATTTCAGCTGCCCATTTAGTTCTTCCAGATGTTTATCATACTCAATAATAAGAGGAGCTAAAAAGCTAATAAAAATACATAATTTTAAAAATCTCATATTCTGTTTAATCTAGTGTAATATGCAGCATGTGAATTAAATAGAACATCAATATTTTTATGTTACATTTATCCATAAAAATCAATACTTTGCCTTTTTCGTGTTCTCAAGCTTATCTCAATATTTCCAGATGCTATCAAATATCTGGGAAGGGGAGGTAATGAAGGAGGTCATCAAGACAACTGCCAGTTGACCCTTGAGCTGAACCTGGGCAATTGGAGGCCTTTCCCTGACCCTCCCCTGTACTTAGAATATGTATTCTGCTTGTCTTCTTCACACCCAGAAGCAGCTCCAAGGATACAGCCTTAAGATAGTAATGTGATGCTGAGGGTGTCTGTACTGGGATGTAAGTGAACCCAGTTAAAGCCTTTTGTGTATGTGACTGAACCCAGTTAAAGCTTCTACACAAACTTTTAAGATTATGGCAGGCAGGTGAGGAAATCTAGCTGTCTTGCAGTGTCCTACAACAAGATAACTCATAAGTAGGTTCTATTGCTTAATAAATTTGCCACCTACCAACCCGGAGTGGTCTGCCTCTTCCCTCAGTCTGTCCTTGCCCTCCACATATGGGAACCAGTTTCAGATTACAACCATATTACTCTTGGAAGGTCTGGAGGAGGTTGCAAATAGGAGGGAGATAAAATCACCCCAATTGAGAACTACTCTTGTAGATTATAATGCTGGCTTTCCCACACTTGTATATTCAATGACGTATCATTTAAATCTAATTATAGCAGACCATGAAATAATCCTAATATTAAAGAAATTATTTTAACAATAATAAATATATTTAAGAAAATAGTATTTTTCTGGTAACTCAAACATACCTTTGGTCAACTAGTGTGTTTTCTAATGTGTCATCTCCACCTCCTTTGAAGACAGCTTTCTACAACAGAGAATATTGCATCTTAAAATGTTTTCTCACATCGTCGAAGCCAAAATGACAGTAAAAACAAAACAGGAAAGAGTAATCATCTAAATTGATGTTGAAAGTGCATTTGGTAAATTTTAACATCCATATGTAACAAATTTGGTAAATTTTAACATCCATATGTAACAAAAACTCTTGGCAAAGTCGAATAGGAAGAATTTTTCTCAATTTGACAAAGTATCTATCAGAAACCTACATCAATTACTATCTTCCATGGTGAAACATCAAAAGTGCTGCATTAAATACAGTATAACACAAGGTTGCTCACTATCACTGCTAAATTCAACACTGCACTAGAGGTTCTAGTCAGTGGAACTAGGGTAAAGGGCTGGGAATTTAAAAGTTGAAAAAGAAACAACACTCTTATTATTTACAGATAATTTGACCATTTGCCCAGAAAACTCTATGTATAATCTACCAATTATTAGGTCTAATAAGAGAATATGGTAAGTTATCCCATAGAAGATCAACAGAACAGTAGCCTTCCCAAGTGCCAGCAATAATTTGAAAATGTAAAAAGAAATAATATCTTTTCACTACTGTAACAAAATGTAGCACATGAGAATAAAAAACAAAAAAAGATGCTATAACTTTACTGAAAAATTAACTATACTGAAGAATATATAAAAAATATGTAAATTTAATAAGGAATAATGTTATATAAAGTGTTTAGCATAATTCCTGACATGTAGAAAGCTCTTAATAAATCTTGGCTATTTTTTTTCTTTTTTTTTTTTCTTAATATGGGGGAAAATCTATTGGCTAACCAAGGTATATGTTATGAGCTTTCAACCAACGTGGGAAGGATTAGCTCTCAAAATATAAAGCCTCAGTAGACATGTTTACATGGATCCAGAACTGTAAGATGAATTAGACAAAAAGAAAAGGTAACCTTCCAGGGAGAATCCTGATGGATTAAAGAATAAATGAATCCAGTAGTCTATGCAATTTCAGAGAGGGATTTATTCAATCCTAGAGTATTAAAAAATAGTTATTGTGTTTATTAAAGAATTAATTAAGGGGCAAGAGATAGTTTAACTTTCAATTGTCCAAAAGTTAGTTAAAATCTTCTTGGGATAACTAAGTGGTTCAAACCTTAAAAATATTATTTCTCAAATTTCTTAGGAATTTTTATAAATATCAAATCAACTACCAATGTTATGACTGATAGCTAGAGATGGATGGCAGTCTACAAAATAATAATTCAAGCTCTCATTAACCTCCCACCCATCAATTAGAAGTTTCCTAATTGTTACTCTTACCATGTTTCACTCCACTTTATCATTCTTTTAAACAATATTTAGTAATCTCCTAGTGTTTACTAAATTAAGTCCAAACTCCTCAATTTAACCATTCAAGGCCCTCTACAATGCAAATACAATCTATCCTTTCTAATGTTATTTTCCATTACTTCTCCATATACGCCAAACACACTTTGAAAAAATGAAGTATGTTTTACTCCCTAAATACTCCACTACCTCTTCTTTTAGCCCCCATTGAAGTTCTTTTAAAATCTTAGCTACTTTTCAGTACTCATCAAACATGCTACATCCTTCAGGAAACTTTCCCTGATCTCTCCAACTATATATGATCACCTTTTTCCCTGTGATACTCATTTTTGGCTTTCAGGTTAAGATACGAATAATATGCCTTTTCAGGTTAAGATACGAATAATAATAATAATATGTTAAATAATATGTTATTTAACATTTTTCTCAAACCCATATTTCTTAGTCTTTAGGTCCCTATGAAATGGTAGTATTATGATACACATTTTCATAGCACTAAAGCTCCTGGCATAGTGCCTTACATAGAGGAGGTGCTCAACATATATTGGTTAAACTGAATTCTATAAAGACACTGCTCTGAAACTATTTTCTAATGATAGTTGCTAATAAAATGCCAACCTACGAATAAAGGACCAATAATCCAAATCATAAAAATTATGATCCTAAGGGCACCTGGTTGGCTCAGTTGGCTAAGAGTACAACTCTTGATTTGGGCTCAGGTCATGATTCCATGATTCATGAGTCCCACTTCAGGCCTGCTTGGGATTCTCTGTCTCCCTCTCTGTCTCTCTCTGTCTCTGCCTTGCTTGCACTCTCTCTCTCTCAAAATAAATAAGCTGAAAAAATGATACGATTATAAAGATACACATAACAAAACAAAATATAAAAAATTTTCATAGAATAATAATATAGATTCAGTAATCCTTTCCCACTTGCTAGTGAAACTTTTAGAATAAAAGTATGTAGGACTTGGGGCGCCTGGGTGGCGCAGTCGGTTAAGCGTCCGACTTCAGCCAGGTCACGATCTCGCGGTCCGTGAGTTCGAGCCCCGCGTCGGGCTCTGGGCTGATGGCTCGGAGCCTGGAGCCTGTTTCCGATTCTGTGTCTCCCTCTCTCTCTGCCCCTCCCCCGTTCATGCTCTGTCTCTCTCTGTCCCAAAAATAAATAAACGTTGAAAAAAAAAAATTAAAAAAAAAAAAAAAAAGTATGTTCATTTAACACAAGTCCTGGCAATTTACCTAGCATGAGGAAGGAGGAGGGCATTTCATTGGGATTTTATCTTGAAAATACAGAACTAAAAAGCATGAACTATTTGTGTTTCACAAGCTGATCATGACTTTTTACAATTCCACTTTTACTTGGCTATAAAACTCAAATGATACTGGAAGATAAGTAGGTAGGAGGAAAGGAAAGATATAATTGCTTCATTCATTCAACAATTATTTATTGAGCATCTATTAACAAGAATTGTTTTAGGCACCTGGGAAATACAGTTGGACAAAAAGGGCAAATGTAAATTTATGAAGGATTTCTGCTGCTAGTGGCAATCACTAAAGTTAGTGACAAGAGATCTCAGTCAGTGCTCCTGGGTCTCACATAACCTTTGATAATGGTTTCCTCCTACTTCTATGTCTTCCTTTACTACAAACAGAAAAAAAATAAATAAGAACAATTGTTCCTGAACATTTTTTTCACAAACCAGAATAACGTTTCTGGGGGTGAAGAACCAAAGAATGCAATGCATATGGCCAAGGATATGGACCATATTGCTAGAAAGCAAATTAACTCCCCTCTCATGTTCTCCTACTACCTCCTTTTTCATTACTGCAAACTATGTAGTGAAAGGCAAGACCCATGGAAATTGGTGTTTTGAGACAGCAACAGCAACATGTTCTGAAGAGGTGAACTGCAGAAGAATCTTAGGCAGTAACAGTATACTACTATCAAAACTAAGAGATAAGAATCAAGATTTGATTGTGTGACTATAAGAATAGTATCCGTAAAAGAAGAACATGTACCTTTAGAAAACTAAAGGAACTATAATTTCACCAAAGAGTACACTATTAAATAAAACTTTACCATACTTTGCATGTTCTCATGAGGCTTTAATTATAATCACAATGTACAAGGCAGGTGCATCTAAAAGGCTACCTCGTGTTTTATCTGGTAAAACAATCTTTCATAATCGAGTCAGCCACAGTGTACAGCAGATATAATATCATGCCCAGAGATCCTCTCAGGCTTTAAAATCAATCTTTGTTTGAATCCTCCTTTCAGGCATATTCTATGAGACATTTAGCAGAAGAAAAAGAACCTAAGAATCTGAGCAAAATTTAGAGGCTACTATATTATGAAAGATTCTCTACCATCTAAATGATAACATTCCTAGTTAAGGATGAGTAACAAAGTAACATAAGAAACACAATATAGTTATTAACATAGCAGATGGATAGTTTTAAGACCCTCTGGACTCTGAGTCTGGTCTTTGTAAATAAAAACACAGAGTAGTAGGCTAAATGTCAATACGCTAAAGAAAATATTTATAAGTATATTCAGGTCAACCAGATAAACTACTCCTTTTTAATTTCTTAAACACAACTTCCTTTTCAATATCTTAAAAACAGGGTCGGCTTTAGCTCAAGCAGTTACTTCGCATGTGGTTACTCAATATCTTAAAAACAATATGTTTTAATTGTAAGATTCATTTATGTTAAAAGCAAAACACTTCCTTATTAATTCAGTAGGGAGCTATCACTAATGTAGGAGCTACTGTTTTTCTTTTAATATTGTGTAACTCAGCAATAAGTATGCCTTAGTGCTCAAAAAAATTTTTAACAGAATCTTTAAATAAGAACATGTACCCAAGGAAAGAAATATTAAAAACAATACCATATATTGTTTACTGTTTTGAATTCGCTTTTGCTTGCCATAATTTATGAGAATTCCAAGTTAAAACTTACTACTATAATGTATCTTAAGAAAAGATTTTAGGATGTTTCAAAATGTCAATGAATTCTCATTTTAGAACTCAGACATTTTAACATTATACGTAATATGTAAGCGCTAACTCTGAAAAAAAAAAGTCAATTTCTATGGTTAAAGAATTTGTATTCATTAAGTAAAAACAAGCTTTTCTTCCTCCTTATAAGAATCAAAGTTGTAAGCAAAATTTCAAAGTGCTATAGGCAACCGCACATGAAAATAATCCTAAATAGAATTTATTTATGTAATTATATTTACAACCAAACTGGAACCTAGACCTTAACTAATTTACATACCTGTACCAATGAATATTTGGAAAAATCTTCCATTTGATATCGCCTAAGCACTTCATTTAGTCGTTGATCTGAAAAAGGAACAAAAAAAGTCTATAGTTTATTGGCTAATGTTCAACATTTAAAAATTACAACTAAGGTAGCTTACCTGAGATATCCAATGCAAGACTGCTAGTCTTCACTGTTTCTCAAAATGAATCCTCAATTTCAGCACGTTTTTGAAATTTAAGAAAGAGGCCCTTCTATACACATAACCTAACCAACTATTGCCAATGATAAAAAGAATATCTGAAAAGAACTTATTCTTCGGGTTTCATAAATTTAATTCTCAATCTCTCCTGGCTTACTCTTCAGGTTAGCAAAAGTAAAAAAGATACTCTCCACTTTTTTTTTTCTTCCCCTGCTACTAGAAGTGAAAAGAGCTGAAAAGATAAACTGTAGCCATCGTTTTTAGAATAGTGAAAACAGACTGAAATTCTGTTCCAGGACAAACCTCCACATGGAAGAGAAACAGCAGGACAAAGATTATGAATTAAACAGGAGTGAGCAAGAGATAATAGAAATGAAGGACTGGAATAAAACCAAGTGCTCTCAGCAAGCACAAGGTGATTAATATTTTTATTCACATCAAGAAAACATACAATAGAACACAGTTAAAATGTACAAAACCGATTCTTTCAAGATCCACATGGGCCATTTAAAACTGGTAATTTACTGGCAACAGAGAAAATCTCAACTTTCAAAAAGGCCGAAGCCAAAGAGAGCATGTAACTGACAACAGCACAATTAAGCTGGAATTAAAAACTAAAAAACATTAAGGAAAAATTTTAATACGTTTTGAAGTTCAGAATTTACTTTTTTAAAATATGAAATTTATTATTAAATTGGTCTCCATACAACACCCAGTGCTCATCCCAACAGGTACCCTCCTCAATACCCATCACCCATTCTCCCCTCCTTCCCAACCCTATCAACCCTCAGTTTGTTCTCAGTTTT